ATAGAGAGAGAGAGAGAGAGAGAGAGAGAAAGAGAGAGAGAGAGAGAGAGAGAGAGAGAGAGAGAGAGAGAGAGAGAGAGAGGGGAGAGAGAGAGGGGGGGAGGGGATGGGAAAAAGAAAGGAAAAGCTACTTTTTCTGTAGGTGTACCTGACGAGATTAGTCATAATGGATGCATAAATCCATATGCTGTTCAGATACCCAAACATCCTGGCCGTTCGCAAACAACGGCTGCAATGCTGGTACTTTGACTTATGTGCCATATAAGGGCATACCACAGTAAATAACTTACATCCCACACCCTGCCACACAACACCACGCCATGGAATATCAATCCTAACTCACCCAATCTGCTTCATGTACACCGAGTCATCGTTTTCAAAGTCTGGATCAACAGGAATGACGGTTCCCTCGAGTCGCAGTTGGCATTGTGTCATCGAGCGGTCTTTGAGAGGGTTTTCAAACGACAGTTTCACTTCAAACTCCTCCCCGCAGCATACCTTGCAATCAGGACCCTGTGAGTAATTTGAAATTCTGTAATGAAAGTATATTTATTTGAGCTTGCCCCTCCTCCTCCCCATTCTTAAAATAAGTTAAAATCATCTTTTGCACACGAGGTCATGAACAAGTTAAAATCATCTTTTGCGATGGGGTCTTGCAACCCAAGCGTGACCCCACGGAAACTAGAGGCTCCGGAAGTGTTTAGTAGGTCAAGTGAGTACAGAATGGGAAGAAGGGGAGGGGGTGGGGAGTTCAAAACCTCTGTCGGCGCCATTTTGATCGTTTAGGGAGAAAGGTGCTTCCATCCTGGAAACTCCAACTACAAGGGACAGACCTCAGAACAAAAAACAAACAAACACCTGGCATCATAATAATACTAGCTGGGCCCCCTTTCGATGAAAGGAATGATCGGTGCATTAACATCAACTGAAACTCATTGGCCTACTATATTTATACTCAACATGAATGGAGCAATAAATATTGAAGAGATGCACAACATTAGAAAGTCTAGATAGAGATGTATAGATTCATTCTCTATTCCACTTTCGTGGTTGTACACTCCAGCATTTCAAAGGTGCGCACGGCTAGTGAATAGAAACCTCACTTGCTTACAATTGCGTCTTAGAAGACGGACTTTCCCAAGATTAGATCTAAACGAAACTAATGAAATACTGAAAATTAAACAACAGTGACTTCAGAGTCCTCAGTAAAATTGAGCACCCTTTAAATGATTCTGAATCACCGTTAGTTTTTTTCAAATTCGAAAGTTAAGCGGTTCCGAAGTTTTAGGGGGCCAAATTTCACAAATATAATATGTGTGGATAACGACTCTATCTCATCTTTTCTTCCTACGGAGCTGCACTCGCATCTTTTGTGTGCACGGCGAAGAGCTGGGCCACCATACATGGGCCTTGGCCATCACACCACAAACAAGGCTAGAAAAAGATGAAGACGTTTTTCTTGTCAAACGTCCAATGTCCTTATCTACTATCGTTTATTGCCTGTGTCTATAATTTTGTGACATTTATCATTTATTAGTTTATCTCATTACTATGACTTTTAACGTTCAATACAGGGAGGTGGAATGTGTAACGTTTAGCAAAATTAATTCCGTCACAGTATACATGTATGTATAATTTAAACCCCTCGTATCGTTAATATACAGCTATGTCCATGAGACAGACTGACAGACAGACAGACAGACAGACAGACAGACTGACTGACAGACAGACAGAGAGAGAAAGAGAGAAAGCGAGAGAGAGCGAGAGAGACAGAGAGAGAGAGACAGACAGAGAGACAGATAGACAGAGACAGAGACAGAGACAGAGACAGAGACAGAAACGG